CCAGCACGGTGAATTACCCTGGACAGACCACGGGGAAAGAGAGAGGGATAATTTCTGGCTGGTTGGCTTGATACACAAGAAGTAAACAAAAACAAAGACAGACCCACACTGGCTTAGTGCCAGGACGCCTACACCGCAGAGCGGAGCAAATTGTGTTTCTTCCCGTTTGTTCTTCCCCGGCTGCAACAGTGTACTGCTGACTCTGGAACTCAGCAAACCCCACCCCCCGAGCCTCCCCTCCAAATCCAGTGGCTTATTTGGGACGCGGCGGCGGACATGAAGGGATGAAAAGCGGACGCCTTAGCTTAAATTGCATTTAGCCTCTAAACCTCTACAGGAGCTGTCAGAACTGCTCAGTGTGACTATGACTTTGAGTTTCTGGCCTGTTTTAAAGCCACCGTGCCGAGTCGTTTGGATTTTGTCCCCGTCCACCCCCCCCCCCCGGACCAACAAAGCACAACCCCGGCCGGGGCTTGATTTGAGCTTCAGAAGAGCCGTGGCCTGGACGAGAGCACGGCAATTTTAAAGGCGTTATTCAGTCACCAAAGGAGGTCGGACTGCGTCAGCTTTGTGGCATATTGTTTCAGCTGAAATGTCAAGAACCACCACACTAGGATTACGCGCACACACCCACTTCTTACACTGTAGGCCTCTACTCTTCCAGCAGCATCTCTGGCTAGCTTAGTAACAACGGGTCAGCAAACTCATAGGAAATAGCAGGGATCTGTTTAAACTCTTCGGCATTTGCAAAAAAACCCCAAAAAAAACCCACCTCCTTAAAACCCTAAGCTCCAATTTTCCATTTTCACTTGAAGCGTTGCCAATCCAAGGTTAAAGTAAAGGTAAAGGTTCCCTTGCTCGAAAGCCAGTCGAGTCCGACTCTAGGGTTGCGGTGCTCATCTCCATTTCAAAGCCGAAGAGCCAGCGCTGTCCGAAGACGTTTCCGTGGTCATGTGGCCAGCATGACTAGACACCGAGGCGCACGGAACGCTGTTCCCTTCCCACCGAAGTGGTACCTATTTATCTCCTTGCAATTTCTTGCTTTCGAACTGCTCGGTTGGCAGGAGTTGGAACCAGAGACGGGAGCTCACTCCGTCATGCGGCACACTCGGGTCTCGAACTGCTGAACTAGGTTATCCAAGGGATAATGCACTCTTTCAAAGGCATGTGTGGTGCACTTGGGAGGGGCATGCCCACAGCCTTCTAGAGGCTTACAGCTGACCTCTCTAGAGAACAGAATGCTAGACCAGACGAACCCCTGGACGCCACGAGGAGGCTCTTTCGTGAAGGCACTGGCAGTCCTAGGGCTTGAGCTCCCCACACGTGGTCAAGGACCCGTTTCCTTGCACGCCGCAACAGGGTGAAGCAAAGCACCCCAGTTTCCTCCCAAGGGTTAATGTGAATACTAGTGGGCCTACTTTGCCTTGCAGGTGTCTGTTACTGAACCTACACCTGACTAAAGGTAAAGGTTCCCTTGCTCGAAAGCCAGTCGAGTCCGACTCTAGGGTTGCGGTGCTCATCTCTGTTTCAAAGCCGAAGAGCCAGCGCTGTCCGAAGACGCTTCCGTGGTCATGTGGCCGGCATGACTCAACACCAAGGCGCACGGAACGCTGTTCCCTTCCCACCGAAGTGGTCCCTATTTATCTAATTGCAATTTCTTGCTTTCGAACTGCTAGGTTGGTAGGAGCTGGAACTAGAGACAGGATCTCACTCTGTCATGCGGCACCCGGGTCTCGAACTGCTGAACTACTGACCTTCCACAGCCTGCAGTTCAGCGTCTTAACCACTTGAGCCACCGCACCTGCCTACACCATCCTTATCTTTTTCAAGGCCGGATTCAGGAATGTGGGGATTGGCTAGTCACGGGAACGTGTGGCCAACTTTGTAGCCAAATGGGAGGGGGGAGACGGGAGCGGTGTTGTCCTCTCTTAGAGGGTTTCAGCAAGTGCCCTGATTGGATGTGAGTGATCGCCTGATGCCAGATGGCAAAAGGCTACATCTAGGCTGTAGAGATGAGGGAAGCCAGGCTAGCTTTGAGGATTCAACAGGACAGTGGCTCTAACGATGACAGGCTCCGTTGCAATGGACAGCGACGTAGAAAACGGACCATCTAATACCAGGTACTGAGGTATTAGAAAGAAAAGTTAGCTTTGTTATTTTCTTGCTGCAGGGCTGTAGGTAAAAGTAAAGGTTCTCTTGCTCGAAAGCCAGTCGAATCTGACTCTAGGGTTGCGGTGCTCATCTCCGTTTCAAAGCCGAAGAGCCAGCGCTGTCCGAAGACGTTTCCGTGGTCATGTGGCCGGCATGACTAAACACCAAGGCGCACGGAATGCTGCTACCTTCCCACCGAAGTGGTCCCTATTTATCTACTTGCAATTTCTTGCTTTCGAACTGCTAGGTTGGCAGGAGCTGGAACTAGAGACGGGAGCTCACTCTGTCATGCGGCACCCGGGTCTCGAACTGCTGAACTACCGACCTTCCACAGCCTGCAGTTCAGCGTCTGAACCACTTGAGCCACCGCAGCTCCCTAGGGCTGTAGAGATTGTGTTAAATAATATATCTCCCTACATTATAAAGCAGTAAGACGCAAACTGCACGCAATGCGCCCCTACAGTGTTTGGGCGGCTCGCCTGTCCGTCAGCGGCGTGGCCACGTCCCATTGGCCACGTTGTCTGAGTCCCGCCCCACGTCGTCTGCAGCTTCGCGTCCCGGGGGCCTCGAGCCGACGAGCGGCTGTGCCGGGCGGCTGTGCGGGATGTTCCCGGGGGCTGGAGGTGGCTGCGGCTTCACGTCCCTGGGCCTAGCCCCGGCGGCTGTGCGCGATGTTCCCGGGGCCTGGAGGTGGCGGCCGGCTGCGGCGGCCGGTCTGCTCAGACTGCCGGCCGCCTGCCTCACGGCGGAGACCAAGGGCGCGAACGCTCGCAGCCGCCTGGGTCACGCCGAGGACGGGGGCCGGGCCCTACGAGCGGCTGCAACGGGCGGACGGCTGCGTCGCGGAGGCCAGGGAAGAACTTGCGCACAGGCAAGTCCCGCAAGTGCCTGCCTCCGACGGGCGGGTGGGCCGCGGCGGGGAGGGGGAGGAGGCGGAGGACGGCTAGCAGCCCGTTGTATCCCCCTCCGCAACGGGCCTTTTTGCTAGTAATAATAATAATCATCATCATCTTTCAATTTATTAATCGCTCAATCCTTGCAGAGCTGCTGGCTCTGAGCGATTTACAGTTACTCATTTCACAAGGGACTAACAATCCTTTATAGGGGTAAGGGAGGACAGCACATATAATCTTTACATAGCACACATTTGGCAGCCGACGGGGCTTGGTTCAGTTACCGCTCTTTTTCAAGGACGGCTCTTATCAGAACTACGGCTTGCCCAAGGTCATCCAGCCAGGTGCAAGTGGAGGAGTGGGGAATCAAACCCGGTTCTCCCAGTTTAGAGTCCGCGCTCCTAACCACGACACCAAACTGGCTCTCCAACCCAGGTTGGTTTCTTGTGCCTGCTCAGCCTCGAGAGCCTACTTCTACCTCTGAGCTGTGCCTGCTTGCCCAAGAGGGGGTGGGGTGGCTCAGGGGGGCTGCTTGCCCAAGAGGTGGCGGCCTGGGCCCTTGGCAAACGGGAACGTTCCGTTGATCTTCTAAGGGGCTACTGGACTCGGATTCGGTTCATCAAAAGGAACGGGTGTCTGTTCTGAGTGGTAACCTGGTAGGAGGAGCTGAACGGATAACTCCCCTCACGAGTAGAATTACCCCACCACCGGGGCCTGAATTTGGCTACAAGACAGCATGCCTAACCTGACAGCTAAGCCGACTGCGGCAGACCCTGCCCTGATTCTTATGCCGATACAGCAAAGGGAGGACAAACAGCCTTTCTGCCTCCGTTGAGCCACTTACTTGTTCTTCACCCCTGACGCTTCGGTGAACCCGTGGCTCCACACGGCTGGCGCTCCAGATGCGTCCCCGGCTGATGGCTGGTCGATCTTGAAACAACGGATGTTGCTATAATGAGAAACAACAACACACCCCCAAAAAAAGAATGAATACTTCAGAAGTCAAAGGAGAGAGTCTCGCATCTTTCCCACTTCTCTTTCTCCACTGTTATCTGCGATGATTCAAGTGGCTTGACAAAAGCGTGTTCACGGTTGCCACCCAGGCATCTACCAATACAAGCTGTGCAGAACAAGCACCAGCCTGGAAGGAAATGGGCCTTCTGCTTTATGGTGAGACTAGGAAAAAGGCCCGTTGTGGAAATAAATACAACGGCCTCTAGAAAGAGGCTCTGGGAGGGTGCCCTGGCCTTGGACACTCAGTGTCAATTTGCTGTGGTGACCTCAGCAGGGTATAATGACACTGAGTCCACCATTTTCTCCAGAGGAACTGATCTCTGCTACCTAAAGAACAGTTGTAATTTTGAGTGATCTCCAGCCCTCACCTGGAGATTGGCAACGATGGTTCCCCAGAAGGGAATAGTTGGTTTGGAGGGTGGAGTCTATGGCTTTGTACCTGTCCGAGGTCCCACGCCTCCTGAAACCTCACCCTCTCCAGGCTCCATCCCTCACATCTCCAGGGATTTCCCACCTGGAGTTGGCAACTCTATCTCCTTCCCAGCCAATCACCAACCTACCTTTATTTCCCCCTCACTCTTCAGCTTTCCACTCCCCACACACCTGCAGCCTCTCCCGTGCTCTGAAGCCCTGACTGCTACGTCATATTGGCTGTCATACGGGGGCCACCTCAGCAGCATATAAGGATACAGAGCCCACCATTTTCTCCAGAGGAACTGATCTCTGCCATTTGGAAAGCAGTTGTAATTCTGAGTGATCTCCAGCCCTCACCTGGAGATTGGACACATTTTACCTTAGAAGAGCAAACTGTTTAGAATGTTAGAGGCAAAAGCCAATCAAGTCGCATATGCAAACGACCTCTGTGTTCCAAGGCAAAGGCCAATGAGGCTGCATATGCAAATAACCTCTGTATTCTGACTGGCTATGGGGGGGAGAGGAACAGCAAAATGTTTAGAATGTTGGAGGCAGGACTCAGGCAAAGCAGCCAGTGGATAGGGAGACCCTCTGAATGACAGATCAGAGAGCGAACCAATTCCGGAGCGTGTGGAATGTTCTAGAGAAGTGCCACCACCATTCAGCATTTATTTATACGGGAGATATAACAAACCAAAGGGGGGGGGGACGACCAAATTAACATTGCCTGAAACTTGCATTGCATGTAAATACATAGGAGTTTTCAAGGCAAGAGATGAAGAAGAAGAAGAAGAAGAAGGAGGAGGAGGAGGAGGAGGAGGAGGAGGAGAAGGAAGAGATTGGATTTATACCCCACCCTTCACTCGGGAGTCTCACCCACTGTTGCTACCCCCAAGCACCAAGACTTGCCCCAGACCGAGAGTTCCTATCTATACCTTGTGACTAATAGCCACTGATGGACCTGTGTTCCATATGCTTATCTAAATCCCCCATGAAGCCGTCCATGCTTGTAGCCACCACCACCTCCTGTGGCAGTGAATTCCATGTGTTAATCACTCTTTGGGTGAAAAAGTACCTCCTTTTTATCCAGTCTAACCCAACTGCTCAGCAATTTCATTGTGTGTCCACAAGTTCCTAACATGCTGTATTAGTCTTGGGATGTTTGCACAACTCCCATTACTTTTTTTTTTGTCTAATAGCAATGGAATGAGGATTCTTCACTACACCACTGGATTGAAGTTCAGGGTTAGGTGGGCAGGAAAATACTCATGTGTGTGGGCGGGATGTGTCTGTCCTAACTGACCTCCCTGCAGTTACTCCCTGCAGTTCCCCAACTTGTAAAAGCCAGCAATACAGCTCAGTGCCAGAACACCCGAAGGCCTGTTTTCTCCAGTAAGAACCTGCCCAATTTTCACAGGCCTGTTTCAAAAGCCCTTCTCTGGGTGCTGCCAACACCTTCTTTGGCAGCAACCAGGGAAAAGTGCTTTTTCAGTGATGGTCACTGGTAACATTCCATGCCAGGATAAAAGAAAACTGTGAGGTGCCACAGTGTTATTGACATATAGATGCCAGCAGGGCTTGTTTTGTAGAAAAAGCCCAGCAGGAACTCATTAGCATAATAGGCCACACCCCTGACAGCACAGCTCATTAGCATATTAGGCCACACACCCATGCATTCCCTTGGCTTGCCTGGGCCCCCTGCGGCCGCGGGGAGCCCAGGCAAGCTGGCCCTTGGAGGGGAGGCATTGGAGGGTGGCTGCAGGGACATTTTAAATGCTGTTATTCTGTTACATGTTTTATTGTATTTCATATCTCGGCTTTGCCGCCTGTGAGCCGCCCTGAGCCTTTGGGAGGGTGAGATACAAAACAAAACATAGATAAATATAAAATAAAATGAATAAATAACGTTCCACCCCGACCCTGTTAGGGTGGCAAGCACATTTTAGCTCGCCTGTGGAGCCAAACGGACCCTATGCGGCTTCAGATGGCACTGCAGGAACCAATGTCCCCCGGCGGTTTGCTGGATGAGACTGCAGAGGATTGGCACAGCCGACTCTCAGCGGCCATCAACGAGATCGCTCCCACAACCCTCTGCTCTAGACTGGCTCCTTGGTTTACCCCAGGAGCTGAGGCTAATGAAGCAAAGGCTCAGACAGCTAGAGAGATTGTGGCGGTGTGCCTGTGAAGAAAACTACAAGAGCATCCTATAGGACTTTTATGAGATCCTATGAGATGGCAGTCAAAGCCGGTACTAGGCAGCCACGATTGCATCTGCGAGCTCATACCCAGCCCAATTATTTAAAACGATTTGGTCCATAACTACTCCGCCACAAGGCAGACCAAATGCTAGGGAATTGGACACTGGCTGTGAGGCCTTTGCGAGCTATTTCAGAGATAAAGTCTTCCAGGGCTCTTTTTGTAGAAAAAGCCCAGCATGAACTCATTAGCATAATAGGCCACACCCAACAACAGGAACTTATTAGCATATTGGGCCACACCCCTGACAGCGCAGCTCATTAGCACTTTAGGCCACACCCCCATGTTACCAGAGGTGTGGTCATCCAGCCACACCCACCTTTTGCTTGTTATTCTGTTTACCTTGTTTGTTGTCAAAACCCAGGGCTTTTTTGTAGCAGGAACTCCTTTGCATGTTAGGCCACACACCCCTAATGTAGCCAATTCTAATGAGTTTCTGCTGTTGGGTGTGGCCTATTATGCTAATGAGTTCCTGCTGGGCGTGGCCAACTCGGGAGCCAGCCGGAACTCCGTTCCTGTGCGTTCCTGCCCAAAAATAGCCCTGGTCTTGTCGCTCCGCCATGACCTCCCTGCCACAGTTGAGACAGTGAGTGAACCCGAGGCTCCGTGCACACCTTCTAGTTAGGTTTTGGATTAGTTCAATCTACTCAGCCTAGAGGAATCCAACAAATTACACTCAGCTGTGTGCCCTACCACTTGCAGCCTCAACCCATGACCGTTGTGGCTAATTAAAGCTGGCTGCAATGGGCTACAAGTTGCCCTAAGGGAGATCATCAACAAGTCCCTCTCTGAGGACCTGTTCCCCAGGGCACTTAAGGAAGCAGTGGTATGCCCCCTCCTAAAAAAACCATCTCTGGATCCGGCTGAACTGGCAAACTATCTGCCGGTTTCCAATTTGCCCTATCTGGGCAAACTAACTGAGAAGGTGGTGGCAACTCAGTTTTATGGATGACACTTCCACATTAGACCCCTTCCAGTCTGACTTTCGCCAAGGCCATGGGATTGGAGACGGCACCGGTCGCCCTCGCGGACAACCTCCGGAGGCATCTGGATTGGGGTCGTTCAGCGGTGCGGCTACTGTTAGAACTGTTGGCAGCGTTCGACACAGTTGACCATCACCTACTGATCCACTGCCTCACCAACAGTGGGATTCACAATACAAAAACTCGTGGGCACTCCATGAAATTGCTGAGCGGTCGGGTTAGAACGGATAAGAGGAAGTACTTCTTCACCCAAAGAGTGATTAACATATGGAATTCACTGCCACAAGAAGTGGTGGCGGCTACAAGCATGGACGGCTTCAAAAGGGAATTAGAGCAGAGTTCCATCAGTGGCTATTAGCCACAAGGTATAGATAGGGGCTCTGGGGCAAGGGATGCTCTGACTTCTTGGTGCTTGGGGGGGGGGCAACAGTGGGAGGGCTTCTAATGTCCTGGACCCACTGCTGGACCTCCTAATGGCACTGGTATTTCTGGCCACTGTGTGACACAGTGTTGGACTGGAGGGGCCATTGGCCTGATCCAACATCGGCTTCTCTTATGTTCTCTAATGTCTGGGGCAAGTGATGCTCTGTATTCTTGGTGCTTGGGGAGGGGGGTCAACAGTGGGAGGGCTTCTAATGTCCCGGCCCCACTGGTGGACCTCCTGATGGCACCTGGTATTTCTGGCCACTGTGTGACACAGTGTTGGGCTGGATGGGCCTTTGGCCTGATCCAACATTGCCGTCTCTTATGTTCTTATTCAGAAGTCTGCCTTGCAATGGATTTCCTCTTTCCTTCGGGGTTGGGGACAAAGGGTGGCACTAGGGGAACATGTAGCAGCCACTGCTAAGTCAGCCTCTTACCATCTTTGGCAGATTAGGCAGTTGGTTCCCTTCCTTGAACGCAATGACTTGGCAACCGTGATTCATGCAACGGTCACCTCGAGACTAGACTACTGTAATGCTCTCTACATGGGGCCAGAGGTCATTTCGGTTCCCCCGGGTGAGGTGTGGGGGGCAGGGCACACGATGAAGCCCCGCCCCCTGCTTCCGGCCGCCCCGCTTCCAGCCCTCATTCAGCCAGGAGGAGGCAGGAGAAGAGGGAGGGTAAGTTGCTTCCTCCACGCCTCTCCCCACCCCTGCCTGCCTGGGGCCAGGGAGGACCTTTGCGGGGCTTCCTTGCACTCCCGCCGGCCTTGCAGGTCCACCGCTGGGCCCCTGATGTCAGGGGGTGTGGCATATGCTAATGAGTTATGCTAATGAGTTCCCCTAGCTCTTTTTCTACG